AATATTATCAGACATCTATGATCGTCAGATTCGCCCAGATTGAATCTAGGCCGTAGGCGTTTACTGTAGCTGTATGCACCTCGGCGGACATCATCTTTTCCTATATATATATATATATATATCTATATTTCATTGGTGTTAAATTATTTCAAAAAAACCCCAATCACAAATTGATTTTTTTGAAAATCTATTTTTTAAATACTTTTTTAATCTCATTTAAATGTGTTTTTTTAAATTTAACTTCAAAAATATTTTTCCTATTTTTTATACTTTTTTTTGTATTTTTTGACACATTTTTTCTACTACAGTACTCGGGCCAATCGAGCCAAATTACGTAGACTCGGGCCACATACACCGCTGGGTCCTAGGCCAAGTATTCAAATCACTCTTTCCAACACTGCCATAGACTAGCGGATAGCGTCTTTGTCTCTCTTCTCTCTAACAATTAGATATTGTGTTGTCTCTCTAGACCTTCTTCCTCCTTCACCACTGGATTATCAGGATCGATGGGTGAAAAATTAGTAGGGGTTTATTTACAATTATTGTACAATTAAATTACCATAAACAAGCAATGAAAATTATATAACATCAAAACAAAAACATGGAATGAAAAATATAGCAACATTCAACCTACAGAGCACAACAATTTAACGTAATTCAATCCCAAATATGACTTACATCTACGGGAGAATGGCACGCGACTTTACTTACTTCTTTGAATAAGATTTCAAGAGAGGTTGAGGTCCAAAGTTTTGATTTCCAGTAGCTTTACCTTTCACAAAACATGGCCCAAAACAGGGTCCTAATGTATTACAAAATGTGGATTTTCTTTCTCTAAACCAAGGCCAGCAACAAAACCCAAGTATATGATCAAAAATCCCCACTTTTCTCTCTCTACAAAGTGGGAAAAAATATGTTACAATAGCAGCCCTACGTGAACTCAGCCCCTTTCCTCTCTTTTCTCTTTTTTTTTCTCTTACTCTCTCTAAACAAAGAGGTTTTAATACTTTTAGTTTCTAAATTGCCTTCAACATCACAATTATTGAATTGGATGCAATCCAATGGTCCAAAATGAGAGATGAAAAATAAAAAAACAAAATACACGTGTGATTTCACTTCACACATGTAACATGGACCTTACATCTTTGAGAATGGAAGGATGAAATGTAAAATGTCATGCGACGACACAAATGATGCTGTATTATATACTTTCCTTTTGATAAGGACCTTTCAAATAAGACGGGCCTTGCCTTCCCTTCCTAACCCTCTACTACGCCCAGCTAACATGTTTCATTATGAATACGAGTATCAGAATCAAGCAGGGGAGGAATTCAAATTGCATTTTGCTTCGAAATTTTGCCTTATGATTTTGGGTTCAATTTCCTTTCAAAATCATGGGCTACCGATCATCATTCAATGGGTTATCACACAGTGACTACAACTTGATGACCACTTTATTGTTGGTTAAATGCGTCACTTACACAATATTCAACAGTTAATGCAATTCTTCTCTCTTACCATATTTAAGAGCTAATAGCCTTATCATATCTTTCTCTAGATATTCAAAGAATGTGAAAAGCATTTCAAAATAAGTGGCAAAGTGCGATACGATCACAAAAGAAAGACATTACCCGTCATTTATGCAATACTCTTTGTTGTTTTTTTTTTTTTGGTGAATCAGTCTAGATATCGGGCTCCTACCCGTTAATTAAGAAGCCAAAAACAATATGTTACATAAGCAATCAAAAAAATATGTTACACGAGCAATACGCTTACTTTTGAGTAATAATCACACGGGCTCTCCACATGCGGCTCATAGGGGATCCCACTCTATTGCCGTCCGATCGCATTGGCATCTCGAATAAAGATATGGTGCCAAGTCAAGTCACTAGTGAAAGGGTAAAAATCAACCATGTGGAGTTGTATTGATCGTTTAAGGTTGCGCAAACGTTTATATAAAGTTGTAGTTTTAAAATGCATAATTAAGGTGCATCTCAAAAATCCATCAAAAAAAGATTGTTTTGATGTTGGAAAACCCATTAATTGATCATTTAATATCGATATGTATGAATATATGTAAAAATGAAATTTTGGGTACTAAAAATAGTGTATCTTGAAATGTATTTTTTGGACCGTCTATTTTCAAGATTTTCATGTGTTTAAAGTCCTACTAGATTTGACCCATTTTTTTAGTTTAAAATTTTTAATTAGATATAAATATAGATTTTCAGGTCATTCTAAGAAATTTTGACACCAAAATTACATCTTATAATAAAATTTAGAATTGCATCTTACTTTGATTGTTTAAAGTTGTAACCTTATGCAAACCACACCATTTTCATTTTATTTTAAGGAAAATTTCGTATAGTTCCTCATATTATTTCATGGTAGACTCTCTTTCCGTTTTTCTTTCAAGTAACATAAGAAAATCCCTAAAGATTTCACCGTACCCTCTCATCTCGGATTTTCTTTTTTTATTCACTTTTGATCATAAAATTCAGCTCCAATAAATTTTTTTGTACTATTTCTACTCAAAAACTTTTTAAACCTTCTATTCCCCTTTCCACCCATTAAATACGTTTTTTGGTACTTTAAATAAATACGAAATGAAGATCTACCATAAAATAATATGAGGAATTAAAGTTCTATACGAAATTTTCTCGTTATTTTACCTTTGTTTAAAGCTCCCATACATGATTTCTTAATATTGGATGGAGCAAAGGATGAGCCTGGAATAATTTCTCGCATCTCTCTTTAGTGTTATCATTTTTATTCACTAGAAGTGATGGCGAGGCTTGTTTTGATGGAAGAGAAATTAGGCTTTTTGGGAGAAGAGGGTTTGGGTAGAGAGAGAAAGCAGGTTGTTACTGGATACTTCCGGTTTCTCTCACTAGAAATGGAAGATCAACTTTCATTAGTTGCAGGTTCTGCTGCCACTGTCTTGAAATCCACGCTTTGCTCAACAAAAACTGCTATACTTGGAAACCAGAGATGGAAAATTGACCGTCTAGTCTCTAGCAAGCCACATTTTGAGCACTTGCTTTTCTTTATAGTGGCTTATTTTTAGAGAACGAAGTACATACAAAAAAAGGGAAACCCTTGGGCTTGGAGAGGGGAAGGTTTCGTGAGAAACGGTCCCTATTTCTTTGACGTAAGAGCCATTCAGTAATTTTTATTCTTTTGTTTGGTAAAATCTTATCGACGTCTTCGCATTTGAATGTAATCACATTTATGACTAATTACGTAAAATTATGGTATATTTTTGCAGTGGCGGTCGAAAAACGCATGCCGTTCGATTTTTTCAGACGGCGTAGATGCTTTCAAACACACACACGCACATATATATATATATATATATATATATATATATATATAAT